CTTGCAGAGTGTTACCTGAAGGTGTGCAGAGTGCAGATGTGGCACCTCTCCCACCAACACCTTCCTCTCCTGGCCCTGCTCCTTTCCCTGGGGTGTCTCCCTTGGCTTTGTGGCTGCAGGACAAAGCAGATCAGGAAGCTGATCCAGCTGGAAAACAAAGCTCCTCCAAAAAGGCTCTTCCTCAGGTCGATCCACTCTGCCAATCCTCGGGTGTTGAAGGGGATCCAAAGGAACAAAGGAAGTCACGGGGTTGGTGACAACAAAACTGGGCTCTGGGAGGGTTCGTGGGGGTGGAGTCACATCCCTGGAGGTGACACCAGGAGACAAGGTGGGCACAGGGTGGACTTGATGGTCTTGGAGGGCTTTTCCAGCCTCAATGATCCTGCGATTCCGTGAGCTTGGAGTGTTGGTGGGAGCAGGTTTGAGGGAAGAGGTCCCCGGAAGGCTCCTTGGAGAAGCAGATCTGTCTGGAACAAGGGCACCCCCCAGTCCCTGGAAGCATCCCTGGTGCCCACAGCCATGGATTCACCTCCCAAATTCCTATTCTCTCTCCACCCACAAGCTGGAACACTGGAGGTTCAGGGGTGCAGGATAAAACCCCGGAGCAGGGATGTGGAAGCGCTCCACGTGTTGCAGAGTTTGCTCCAGGATCTGGTGCAGAGCAGCTCCAAACCAGCTGTGGGGTCAAAGACTCCTTTCCTGTGACCCTTGTGGTCAAGAGTTTCCCTGGAGAGATGTGACTCCCGAGGCCAAAGCCACTCCTAGTTGCCCTGGGTCAGGGATTTTAAGTAGGGACTTTCTCCTTTCCCAAACATCCCCAGCACTGGGATTTCCTCACTGGCTTTTCCTGTCTGCAGGGTTGTCCCTCCATCAGAGTCGCTCCAGGATGTGGGATAGGATGGTCCCAGGAGGATCTTGGCTCTCCAGGCAGATTCCTTCAAGGCCAGCTGAACGTGGACCTTCCCCCTCCCCACAACTCTGCAGAAAAGGCGGGAGAAGTTTCCCCCTTGGATGGCAGCAAGAAGTGCTTCCCTGAGGATCTCCCCAAAACTGCTGCCTCCTTGTGAGCTGGGCCTTTTTCCTTCTTTGGAATGACAAACCAAGCAGAGATTTGGACACAGGAGACAACTGGAAAGCACCCCCAGGACTGATGTTGCTCCCAACCACTCTGCCCCCATATCTGCAGCTGGGGGCTGATGCATCTCCATTGGGAAGGTGATGTTGCCTTTCCCAGGCTTTTTTCTCGAGGTCTGGAGTGAGGGAAGAGGGAAAGGGATGAGATCCTCCATCTGACAGCCCCACCTGGCCTTGGGGGATCAGCAGAACAGGCACCAGGTCCCAGTTCCTGTGTCATCCAAGGAGGAAAGGACCGGAGCAACTGCTTTTCTAGTGTCCAAGGGCATCTGCAACCTAAAAATCTGGGAATGGCGGCTCTTCTGCAAAGTGGGAAGAACTTTTCCAAACCAAAAAACCCTCCTTCCACCATCCCAGAGAATGCCTGGCAGCTCCCTGCCTTGTCCGTGGAGCGGTAGCAGGAATTTCTGGGGTGTTCCAGCCTAAGGAAACATTCCTTGGGAAAGGTTCAATCAGAAATCATTCTGCCTTTTGGGTCTCGCAGATGAATTGGATCTAATTACCTACTTGAATGATTGATTGAAGTCTTTCTCTCATCACCTTCCTGCCCAGAGTGTTGCCATCAGGGTGATTCCTCCTCGGATGGAACCGGAGCTTTAATCCCTGAACAGCTTTTTCCCAAGGCAGGACTTGTGTCCACGAGACTAAATGACAACATTTTAGATTTCCTTCTGCTCCAGTCACTGAACCAGGTCTCCAAACAGCACCTAAAACCCCCTGGGGTTGGATCCTTTGCTCTCCTTGGGACAGAGCCCAAAATCTGCTTGTCACTCACATCCAGCTCCTCATCCCTCCCCGAACTGCTCCTGACGATTAAGGAGGGATCAATACCAAATGTAGGGAAAAGCTGGAGCAGCTGGTGTTTCTCAGATGTCCCCAGCCCCCGGGGTGGGCAGGTGGGCCGGGGACAACAGAAGGAAATGCCTCTGCATGTGCGTTTTTAATGAGGTGTTAATTGGGCAGCGGGTGAACGGGACAAAGCAGCAGCAGCGGATGTGGCTTGAGGGTTTGGCTGATGGGAAGCAGGAGGCTGGGAATCAAAGGAAAGCTGGGATTTTGGGGCCTCTTGCTGCCGTGTCCAGCGGGAGAGGGACACGAGGTGGGCAGGGAACTCTGCTCTGCGGTCAGGGCTGGATTTGGGGATTCTGGTTTGTCCCCTTCTCTCGGGGAATAGAGGGAGAGGGGCCAGGAGCCCACCCGGGACTGGCTGGGTGGGGTGGGGTGGCCCAGCTGAGCCCCAGTGCCAGTCATTAAAGTCATTAACACATGGGAGTGAGGAAAGAACCCCACGGGGGGGGGGATTACTGGGTTTCCCACAGAGAGAGCTGCTCCTGCTCCTCCTCCAGCCCCACAGCCGGGAGCGGATCTGCAGCCCAAGAGAGAAGGGAAGGGGAAGAAAGAGGCTGAGCTGAGCTTGGACCCTTCTGAGGAGACGAGAGAGAGAGTTTGGCAGAGGGAAACGCAGAAGGGGTGTTGGAGGGAGGCTTTTCTGCACCACTGTTGGCTGGTTGGGAAGGATCTTTGGAATTTGGATTAGTGAAGGAGTCCAGAGGAGGCCCTGGAGATGCTCCAAGGGCTGGAGCCCCTCTGCTCTGGAGCCAGGCTGGGAGAGCTGGGGGGGTTCA